ACCATTTATATGTGAAGATAAATGATTTCCTATAAAATTTATGCTGGTGTTAATGCACCGCTCTGTTCCATCCTAATTACTCAGAGGGATGTTTCGATTACTCTGGTGAGCTATTTCTTGTTAAATAGCAGTAAGGAAAGGAGGGATAACTCCTCTGGAGTCTGTAGTAAATCTTTATTGCCTTATTTGAAGTGTTTCCTACATCTCTTAACGAAGTTGGTGGTGTCTTGGCTTGAGTTTAGCTTTTATGTACACTAATGTAAATATGCCATGGTGACTCTGCCAGCATCCATTTTGGTCCCAACACATCTCAAAACCAGGCATTCATTGTTACCAGAGTGAACTTGCTAAAATGCTAACAGGATCATGCAATTCCCTGCCCCAAATTGTTCACTTGTTTTGCATCACTTGTAATAAAGTTCTTAATGCTCCTTCTTGGTCTTTGCACTCAGAGTCTCCTGTGAATTAGGGGAGAGGTGGTGGCAGCCAGGTGTTACTGTTAATGGGAAATTCCCTCCCACAGATGGAATACCACTGACCTAACTCCATCACATGAACTGGCATACCAGTTGTAGATTACAAGCTATAGGAGAGGTGAATTTACTGAAGTGTTGGATTTTCAACTGCCTTCAGTGGAATGAGGATGAGGATGAGGATGATGATGATGATGATGATGATACTAACGTTGCAGCACCCACTATAAACATTGGGAATAGAATTATGTCCTTTATTACCCAAACTGGCACACTGTTAATTATGACACTAGGATATATACCTGGGAAAACAAGAGTGTGTGATCACTATAATTTGGGGACACTTTTGTCATACCATTTCTCATAGTGCGTAATATTATAGCAGAAGTTCAGTCTTTCATATTTTATCTATCTATTTGTTTGTTTAGACAGTATTGGGATTTGAACTCGTGGCCTCTTGCTTGCTAGGCAAGTGCTCTACCACTTGAGGCACGTCAGCTCTTTTGTGTTATTTTCTCTCTCTCTCTGTGTGTGTGTGTGTGTGTGTGTGTGTGTACATGTGTGCACACAAGTCCTAGAGTTTGTACTCAGGGCCTGAGCACTGTCTTTTAGGGTTTTTTTTCCCCTAAAACTGGCATTCTACCACTTGAGCCACACTTCCACTTCAGACTTTTTGCTGGTCCACTGTGGGTAAGAATCTCTGATTTTTCTGGCTGGCTTTATATATCTTGGCCCTCAGATCTCAACCTCCTGGGTTACAAGTGTGAGCCACCGGTGTCAAGCTTGTGTGAGTTATTTTCAAGATTAGTGTCTCACTTTATGTTCAGGTAAGCCAGGACTTCGACACTTCCATTTGAGCTTCCAGGATGACAGGTCTATACCACTGCAGCAGTCATTGGTTGGGATGGAATTTCTTACAATCGTTTTCTGGTCCCTGTTGGCCTTGAACTGTAATCTCCTCTTCTTTGCTTCCCAAGTAATTAGGATTACAGGCTTGAGGTACCACACTGGCACAGTCTTTTAATACTGTTCTTTGTATTTGCTTCTCTCTGCTGCTGGAGGCCCTGACACACAGGTTGTGTTACAGGCATACAAATGACACTCATGAGCTACTCTAACCTGGACATTTCCCTGTGGCTACCCTTTCTCATTTTCATACTATCTGTTGTCAGCCTTGACATTTTCCTGTTGATATTACTTTCTACTTTTCCCTGTACTATATGGAGTACTTGCAGGTCTCAGGGCAAAAGTGCAAAAGATGTCCATTTAGGAAGCATTTTTTTTTAAAGTTAGAAGCTATAGATCAAGCTAACAAACTGTTAAATAAGTGTAACAATTATGTCTTCAGAACAATACAACAGGTCTACATTCAAATTTCTCAGAATCCCTGTAGTTAGTGTATGCTGATCCTGGGCTCCTGATCCACAGCCAGCCTATCTTTTCTTCACATTTCTGGCTCCATCCACAGGAAAGAAGTGGATGCCCAGTTTGCTCCTGTTCAGGGTCTGTCCCTCTCCTTCTCCAACCTTCCCGAGGGAACAGCTCATAGGACGTATATTTGATGCTTGCTGATGCTTTCCCAAATTATTATAGATTCCATTACATTAATTATCAACATAAATTTCTTATGTCATAGTTTGGGAAGTTACTCATTTAGGGGTTAAAATCAAGGTACTGATATTGCTGTTTCTTTCTAGAGGCTCCAGTTTGTAGAGCTGTGCTCCCAAGCCAAATCCTTCCTTCCATTGCCAAGGACAGCAGTGTGGCATTTCCTCTCCTCTCCCACAGCCTCCCTCTTCTAAACACCCTGGTGATTATACTGAGCTCATTTGGTTAATTCAGGGTAGTCTCCTCATCCTACAATCTTTAACTTACTCACAGCTACAAAGTTCCTTTCACTGGGCAAGGTATGGATCATGGGCTCCAGAGATAAGGATGTAAGGGCCATTATTCAGTGACCAAAAGACTAGTGGGAAGGTGACAAGGAAGAGGACTAAGCAAGCCCTGGGTCCACGTTTGAGAAGAGTTACATCAGGATTCCAGAAGCAAGGTGCCTGAGTTATGGACTGGAAGTCAGAGAGGTTGAGGTCACCATGTTCATGTCTCTCCGGTCCTCTGGATTCCCTGATGAGCCACAGAAGGACTACAGCTTAAGACCCAGGTCCAGAGGGTTTTAAGCAGAGGCCAGTGGATGGTAATCTCCCTTCCCTGCCCATCTGCTCACCACTACCTGCTTTCCTTTCTTCAGCCCTATCTGTAAGGTTCTACTGGAGGAAAAATGTTAGCAAATTGTCATGGTGTGTTAAAAGTGTTTTTTGTCTCCCTGTATCCCTGCCTTCTACTTGTCATGTAAGATCCCCAGTCCACACCCACTCTGTGTTTTCACCCATCTTCCCTGGCTTTTCCTTCCTTTGAGTCTCTAATTCCATCCTTCCGCCACCTCCTCAGAATTCTTAAAATACACAGGATTTCACCTGCTTGTTGTGCTCTACAAAGCGTGCTAGCCAGCTAACAAGATGCCCTGAATCCTTAGCTGTGATAATCTTCTCTTCTTAGAAAATTTCCTGCTCAGTTTTAGGTTTTTCTTTCACCATGGGAAGTCTGGACATTTTATGTTATTTTTAATAACTAGCATAAATGAATTGGATAGTTGGATTTTTATTATTTTTCCATATATGCTGAGCACATTTTGCCCCCTTTATTTCTCTCGATTATCCTTGCTATGATCCCCTCAGATTTTCATTGACAATAAAAGTTGAATTCCTTTACATAATCTAGTTGTGATAATCTAGTTATATTTATATTTTATGTACATATGCAACTTATGTATTCCTGGATCTTGGCCATTTTGAATAATTTTTTCATGCATTAACAGAATTTCTTTTTCCAGAAAATTGTGATCAACAGTTTTCTTCCCATTTTTAAAAAAATAATCTGAATGCTTACCTGTTTTTCATCTTAACTTATTCTCACTAATGCGCAGGAAGCTTAAGAGACTCTTCTGTCTTTAATACTATGACACGGTTTTAGAAATTGCTAGGTTTTAAGAGATTAGGAATTAAAATTTCTTTATTTAGTATAGTTGTTGCTTTTTGTTTTTGTTTTTTTTTCCCTGAATAAGTTTAGATATTCCTAGGAACCTCATCAAAAAGAAGGCTACCAAGTTAAACTTCGTTTCAAATGATCATCATGGCCTACCAGTGAATTTTTTCTGAGTGTGTTCATGCATTGTCATCACAATTGTGTTTCATGAAGATACCTGCATTTATCTTCATCACTCTGCCCGAGAAAAGGCTTTGCTACCAGTGCCAGATTTTAATAAATAATTGATAACATGAATGTCAGAATGGATCACAGAATTTCAGAAGGGCTCTAAAAGAAAAATTTGTATATATAATCGTTCAGTGCAAGCCATGTTTTTACAATCAGTAGTAAAGACTTTTTTTTGTTTATTTTTGGTTGGTTATGGAGCTTGAACTCTGGGCCTGGGCACTGTCCCTCAGCTCTTCAGCTCAATGCTAGCGATCTACTACTTGAGCCACAGAGCCACTTCCGGTTTTCTGGTGGTTTATTGCAGATTAGAGTCTTTGATTAGACTTTGATTAGACTTTGCTGCTCAGCCTGGCTTTGAACCATGATTCTCAGATCTCAGCCTCCTGGGTAGCTAGCATTACAGGTGTGAGCCACCAGCGTCCGGCAAGACTTTGATTTTCAACATTCATAATGTCTCCCAGACTGCTTTGATGAGAGCAGTAATTTATTCCACTAAGAATATTCACTAAATTGTGCATGTTCAAGACATGGCTGTCTGTTAAAAGTTTATGACTTGATATTTTATAGATCTTATTGATATTATATGGGCATTATTTTGGGGAAATATCTATAATGATAAATAGATATTGTAATATTATACATATTTTGAGTGGAGTACTGGGATTTGAACTTAGAGCCTTGTGTTTCCTAAATAGGATGCTCTACTACTTGAGCCATGTTTCAGTCCTTCTGTGTCTTAGCTATTTTTCAGATAAGGTCTGTATTTTTGCCTGAGACTGTCTTTAGTTCTCCCGATCTATGCAACTAATATTACAGATACGAAGCACCACATCTAGTTTATTTGTTGAGTTGAAGGTCTTGTTGTCCAAGCATTGAACTACAATCCTCCTGATCTCAGTCTCCTGTAATCCCAGGATTACAGACATGTGTCATCATGCCTAGGCTGAATTATACAGATATTAAGATGCTAAGTATCTTCAGTTTACCAGTGACAGGTGAGGAGAAATGAGAACCAAGTCAGGAAATGAAGGCAATATTGCTCTTCTCTCCTTTTCTCATTGCATTAGGAGTTGCTCTGCTATGCTCTCGTGTTACAGTGGTAGTTATAGGTAATAGCTTGCTCGGTGTGCAGGTACATTATACAGCTTCACCATTTCCAAGATTTGCACCCTAATGTTCTCCCTTTCCTCACATGGAATTCTTCCCTTGTTTCAATTTCACAAGTGATTATGCATGTCTTTTTTTTGTCCTCAGAATGGCTTCACTCCATTATACATGGCAGCCCAGGAGAATCACATCGATGTTGTCAAATACTTGCTGGAAAATGGAGCCAACCAGAGCACTGCTACAGAGGTAAGATGGTCAGCCCTATGACTCATGAGTTCTTTAATCTTCATGTCTATATTCTTTATACCAGTTGCAATTAGTGTGTGTGAGATATGCTATGAATGTTCATGTTTCTATTATTAGCTACAGTAGCGCAATACCTCAGGTGTATATACACAGCTCATGAAGTTAGATCTTTATTTTAGACTCATAGCTTATTCTTTCTTTTCTTTTTTCTTTTCTTTTTTAAAGGAAATACAATCTTCCTATATGGCCCATGTTAGCCTTGAACTTGTGATACTCTTGTTTCAGCTTCCCACATTAGGATCATAAGCCAATACCACCACTCTGGCTTTATCTAGATAAATATTAATGTCCAGTAGGACTTGTTTTCTGGACAATTAAATTTTTAGGCAAACATAAGCATGATCCTCTTTTTGTGTGGCATTGGAAGAAGTCATCAAAATCAATGAAACCCATTTTTAGTCCTTTAAAGAGAAAGATTTTATGTAGCCACAGTCACAGTCACTTTCTGACAGCTTATTGTCATTAAAGTGATTTCTCAAAAAATCACTCTTAAGGGCCCACATTTCCCACTCTTACTGGAAAACACAACCTATCCCTATGAAATAATTTCACATTTTGCATCCACACCCAGACCTTACACTCCTGAGCAAGCACTGTGGATTTTATGATGTGAGGCCTTTATTTTTCCATAGATGGCACACTGCTAAATTTATGCACGAGTTGATGTAAAGATCTTCAGGCAAACTGGATAACCAAGAAATTGTGTCTCTGAGAAATGTACCCAAATCAGGAAATATAAGCAGTTTTCTTCTTTGCCCTTGAAGTCAGAATCATTTCTTAGGTGAAACCTTTGCACTAGAATTCTTTATCAAACAAAAATAGATTTTCCTATCTCCAGTGTATATTGAAGTAAACTCATTGGTGTGACATCTTCAGCTGACTCATGACGCTTTTCATCTAGACCTTCAGGTCTCTTCCAGAAATGTCCCTTAATGTCAGTGACATTGGTGGAGGCCATGTGACACAGGAAGTTGTACACATTCAACATCTTCTTGATTTCCACATGAGAAAAGCTCCATTTGCAAGAAAATCATATTGGGGCTTGAATCCCAGTTCCATTAAAAAAAAATGTTAAGTAACTAAAACGTGTGTGTGTGTGTGTGTGTGTGTGTGTGTGTGTGTGTCCTCAGGCTTGAACTCAGTCCCTGAGTTCCTTTTGCTCAAGGCTAGAACTGGCTTGAGCCAGAGCCCCACTTTTGGCTTTTTTGGAGTAATTTATTTGGAGATGAGGGACTCATGGACTTTTCTACCTTGGCTGGCTTTGAACCACTATCCTCAGATTTCAGCTTCCTAAGTAGCTAGGATTATAGGTAAGAATCCCCAGCATGTGTCTTAAAACGTTTTTTTTGTCAGTCATGGGGTTTGAACTCTGGGCCTGGGTGTTCTCCCTGAGCTCTTCAGCTCATGCTTCACTTCACCCTTGAGCCACAGTGCCACTTCCCATTTTCTGGTGGTTTATTGGAGATAAGAATCTCATGGACTTTCCTGGCCAGGCTGGCTTTGAACTGCTATCTTCAGATCTCAGCTTCCTGAGTAGCTAGGATTACAGGCTTGAGCCACTGGAGCCCAGCTACCATTTTTTTTTTAATTCAAAGTGTATAAATTTAATTCAGAAAATCTCACCATTAACCTTAATGGCTATCAAGAAACATCTTGTCAAGTTTGCGTGCATTCCTTTATTTTATTTTTTAGTGTATGCTGGTATTGCCTCGGGGCCTGGGCATTATCCCTTAGCATTTTTACTCAAGGTTAGTGCTCTACCACGAATCTTCTCCAGGGTTAATTATAGATAAAGTATCTCATGGATTTTTCCACCTGGCCTGCCTTCGAATCCCAATCCTTGGTGCACAGTTTCTCATGCAGCTAGAATTACAGGTGCGCACCATGGACTCAGCTTGTGTACTTTTTTCAAGTGCCTCATTCTGTAAATATATTTAATATTCTTTAAAAAAATTGGCATTTCCATTCCCTTTGGCTAAATTACCTACTGATCAAGACGTTAGAATTTGGATAATTATGGGATTGTTCAACATGACAAAAAAGGACTTTTATGTATGTGAAGAAATATTTAAAGTTTAAAAATTTCCCCTAACTGTAGTTAATTAGAATTGGTAAATAAATGATGGGAAATGAAACTACAAAGGTATTTCTTGTTCACAGTAAAGATACTTGACAAACCATTAGAAATACTTATGTTTATCCCATAAGGTCTAGATTATAATAAACTCCACATGGTGGAGATTCAAAGTTAAATTCTCTGAGGAGATTACTGTGCCCTGGAAGTACCATTTTTATATTCCTCCACTCTTTTTCTTTTTCCTGAGCATGTCAAAATTGAAGGCTAAAATTTCTTAGTAGGATTCTGCCTGCATTCTAATTCTTCATCACAAAACACACACACACACACACACACACACACACACACACACACACACACACACAAAACCCCAGCAAAGATCATACTATTTAATTGTAAATTTCCAGTAGGCAATCAAATTAAATACGTACATAATAACAACTATTCCTTCCTCATTTATAGAGTACTTAATTTGTGCCAAAGTTGTAAATATTATCTACTATTTTTCATCTTAAGACTTTGCTTCATCTTAAGTCCTCTCCTCTGTGAAGTGGTATGCCATATTTAAAATTCAAATATTATTAAAAAGAAAATTTAATTTCTTTTGCTTGGTTCTGCATACATGATCTGATAATTTTGGAGAAATTTTTATTTCCTTCAGAAATTTAAGGGAAAACAAATTAAGACTGAATGTGGTGGATCACATAATCTCAGCTACATAAGAGGTATAGATAGGTGGGATACTTGTGGTCCAAGATTGACCTTGGAACAAGACTCTAGCGGAAAAAATAGTTAAGCAAAAGTTACTGGGAGTGTAGCTGAAATCATTGATCACCTGCCTAAGAAATAGAAGGTACTGAAAACACACACACACACACACACACACACACACACAATTGGTGCTTGAACTCAGGGCTTGGGCACTGTCCCTGAGCCTCTTTATGCAAGAGGCAAGCATTCTACCACTTGAGCCACAGTGCTACTTCTGGCTTTTTCTGAGTACGATAGTTTATTGGATTTGAGAGTCTCACGGACTTTCCTGCATGGGCTGTCTTCAAACCACTCTCCTCAGATATCAGCATCCTGAGAAACTAGGATCACAGGCATGAGCCACCAGTAACTGGCTAGGATCCAGATTTTTTTAAAAAAAGTATGGAACTTAAAGAAAACAATGTGATTAAACAACTCCACTATATGAAAAGTCATCTATTACAATCTGTAGTAATATGTGATCCTTTCACCTGCTAATTCTTCCTGCACTTGTTTTTAAAATATATTTTTTACATTATTAGGGGTTTTGAACTCAGAGTCTCTCACTTGCTGGCTGGTGCAGCAGAGCTGAGCCGTGCCTTCAGTCCTGGTTTCTACTGGTTGTCTTTAGAATGCAGTCTACTTGGCTGCCCAGCCACACACCAGAGCTGCACTTCAGCTCCTTTAGGCTTGACGAGATGGTGTCTTGCAGACTTTTCTGCCAAGCCTGACCACTGACACTGGGATCTTGTTAATCTCAGCCTCAGTATTACATGGGATGACAGGGATACCTGATGAAGCCCGTCTATGGGCTAAGGGTCTCAAAAACTGCCTGAACTGACCTCAAACCACAATCCTCCAGTTCTTGGCCACCTTAATAGCTAGGATTACAGGTGTGAGTCTCCAGCACCTGGCTTGCTTGTCAGTCTTAATCAGTCATTTTAATGCAGAAACATCATTTCTTGGAGTAGAACCCTAAGAATACAAAAGTTAACGGAAGGTGATTTTTTTTAAAAACATTTTATTTTACCAGGATGGATTTACTCCTCTAGCTGTGGCCCTCCAGCAGGGACATAACCAGGCAGTGGCCATCCTCTTGGAGAATGACACCAAAGGGAAAGTGCGGCTGCCGGCCCTGCACATTGCAGCCAGGAAAGATGACACCAAATCTGCAGCTCTCCTGCTTCAGAACGATCACAATGCGGATGTACAATCCAAGGTAAAAGCCGAATGGATGAGTGGGAAGAAATTCTCTTGCTGCCAGACTCCTGGGGGACCGTCACGGAATAGGCCACGGTGACAATGCAAAGTCACTTGGGGTCACGAAAAGAGATGAATTGCTTTCAGAGGTATTTCAAAAAAGAAAGGGACTGTCTATTGGGTTAGACTCTCTAAATGCTAGACAATTTTTCTTTAAAAGATATGGCTCAGCTATTGAGATCTTTGCTGCCTTCTTCTAGAACTAGTAGGCAAAGAATGTGAAAGATACAAGTGTATTGTGTAGATTTGAGGCTATCTTTTTCCAGTGCATTGTATTTTGGCCTGTTTGACTAAGGTAATCTGATTGCAAGGAGCAAGTTGTTTCTTATCTTAATTTTGCCTTGTGTAATGTCTTCCCTCTTTTTCCCACACAACACTGCTTCAGATGATGGTGAATAGAACAACTGAGGTACAGTATTGTGCATATGCCAACCTCTACCTTATTTTTAAATTTATTTTCAGTTTTTCCCCTCATCACAGTAAATACCTACTAATATATACTAATGATGACAGTTCTGTTCAAGGAAACTTATTTAGAAAAAAATCTCTCGTAATTTAGGAAACATTGACAACTCAAATATATTCAATACAGCAAAAATGGAAGCATTATTAAATCAGCAAAACTACTACGGTAGTTTCTGAGTCCAACATAAAACAAAAATCTCCTGAGCATATATTTCAATCAATGAACTTGATTCTTTTTGCAAAGACAAGATCATGTATTTTTGAAAATTCTCAGATTAGACCTCAAGGAAATGAAAATTCAAAGTCCATTACTAAGTTTGTGTTTTTAAATCTTTTATCTAACTGCAGATGCTCTTTTCTTTTTCCGGTATATTTTCTCTTTACCACATTGTTTGTAATCAATAACATATTGAGCATTTAATGAGCAAAGCAGTTGCTTTTTCTTGTAAGTCCTAAAATACTTGCCATTAAATCATTTTCTGCATACCACAATAGGTCACATCAATCAACAAGAACATTAAGTTCAGAAGCATCTCAATAACATTTTGTGTGTGTGTGTGTGTGTGTGTGTGCGTGTGTGTGTGTGTGGTCTATTCTTGCTCATTGCTACAGAGAGTTAGTAATACAATCATTGAAAATACATTATATAAATCAGTACATGCGCAAAGGCACAAGCACTTGCTTGTCTAGGTAGGTTAACTTTTGCATCCCTAGGGTATTTTTATTTATTTATTTTTATTAAATTTAAGTAGTTGTACAAAGGAGTTGCCATTTAACAAGGCAATTCATCAATTCATAAACACAGTACATCATGAATGAAGTATTGTTTAGACTAATATTTTATTTGATCATTAGGTTGGGATTTGGGGCAATGGATCTTTGAACATTCATACCTAGTATTTACTGGTAGTAATGTATGTATGTTTTTATTTAATTTTTGGCAGTGTGGGGCTTGAACTCAGGGCCTGGGCCAGTCCTTAAGCTCTTTTGCTTAAGCCTAGCACCTGATCACTTAAGCCACAGTGCAGCTTTTGGTTTTTGAGTAGTTAATTGGAGATGAGTCTCATAGGGACTTTTCTGCCTGGGCTGGCTTCAAACTGCTATCCTCAAGTATCAGTAGTAGTAGATCTCCTGAGTAGTTAAGGATTACAGGTATGAGCCACTGGTGTCCAGCCACTGTTATCTTCAGTATTACACTTTATTTATTGAAATGGTGATACACTTGGATTATTTGCATCACCACTTTTGTTCCATATCTGTGCATGGAACCTATGCTAGAGACAAAAGAAAAATTGTCCAACTCAGCTTCCTGGTGAAGTAATTCAAAACCACCATAAAATTAATCTAAACTTCTGATTTTAAGATCCTTAACTTTTTGGGGTGCATTGTTTGATGACTCTTTATAAGACAGTTTGAACAGAATATAGGCTCTCAACATTTGTGATTGAAAGTAGCTATTTGGATAGATTTGTACTCACGTATAAATATTTCTTTAATATAAAATAACAAAGAAGAGAAAGCCTTCCATCTCTAATTCTGAGAAAGATGAAATCAGTCTCCCCAACCCATGCTTATCAGGCAAGAGCCCATGGCCAGGGTTGCTATCAGCTTCCTGTAGAACAAGATTCACAGTCTGAGCTGCTGTGCTAGCTAATGATAAGTTAGTTTTTTTTTTTTACAAGTAAGAAAACTAATATTATACTTGAGTAATTTGGAAGTGAATCAACAGCAATCAAAATATTTCCCTGAAATTAAAGTATTGCTGGAATAATAGACATATACTTTAGGATATGTCTGAAAGACAAGAACTAGCTAGATAAAACTGAAAAACCTTTTGTGGATTATATGTTAAATCCCCCAAATATTTTATAAAATAATCACCAGGTTATAGCTTAATTCTTCTTTTTGACACAAATATTTGGCATCATCCGGGCCTAAAATACAAATTATCTCCATCACAGTTGTGGGGTTTGGATTAATAGTTACTATTTTTACTTGATGTCTTGATGTTTTACAGCCAGAAATTATTTACAGCTAATGTGTTAATAGCACAGGAAAAGTTCCAAGTTGTTATTTGTGGAATTTTAAAAATAAAAAAAAACAATCAAGTCAACAGAAAAGTAACAATGGTGACTTAGAAAATATTTTTTTAAAACAGTGTGGTGCACATCAAAGTTCATGGCAAATTAAAAAAAATAATAAGAGAAAACAATGGGAAAAATGCAGGATTCCATAGCCAATGATTGCTCTGTATTTTCCCATACTCTTATTTTTACAATATGAAGTTTCTACAGTGAGGAAAATTATCAGATCGTACTTTAATAAGAGAAGAGTTAACATATGTCTATTATGAAAACAGCAAAAGTTTCTACCTAAATTTTCATCAGAAAAAGAAATGACAGGGAATATGCTTTCTCTCATTTAAGATATTCAGGTTTCATTAAAAAGAAGTTCTTTGAGCGTAAATAGTTCTCTAATGCCTGTATAGTTTATTTTAATCATATTTTATTTTATTGATAAGATTTTGCTTAATTTTCAAATATGAATTAACAATCTTTTTCTCTTTATTTCATAGATAGATAGATACCAAGTATATTGATTAATTTTTGTTTTTAAATACTTTTCTTGGCCAGTCACCAGTGGCTCATGCCTATAAACCTAGATACTCAGGAAGCTGAGATCTGAGGAGTTTGGTTCGAAGCCAGCCCAGGCAGGAAAGTCTGTGAGACTCTTATCTCCAATTAACTACTCAGAAAAAGCCATAAGTGGCACTGGGGCTCAAGTGGTCGATACCTGCCTTGAGCACAAAGAGAATTCAAGCCTAGATAACTAGCTGTGGTAATTAATAGTCATATTGCCAGCAAAGGTAGAATGTGTATTTCTTTATGGCACTATTTACAACCTTATAACACAAAAATGTCAAGAGCCCTATGGAAGGGTTTACTGTTTAAATTGTGGTAGGCAGGATCCCTGTGGTTTCGCGCGTGGCTCCTGTGTGTACAGCACGTACCCGGTGGAACTGCCCTCTTCACTGTCACTTCTTTGCTTCTCCATAGAGTGGTTTCACCCCTTTGCACATAGCCGCGCACTATGGAAACGTCAACGTGGCCACTCTTCTTCTCAATCGGGGAGCTGCGGTGGATTTTACAGCCAGGGTATGCATGAAAATAGTTTCTTGTCTTCAACAGCCATGAATGGGTATTTTGAGGAAATAAACGTGAATACAGATGGCTTTCTTAAAGCTTTTATTAAAAAAATTGTATCCTTTTCCGTGGATTATATCTAACAATTCTAGATTTTGCTTTTTATTGTTTCTTTAAGCCATAGGAAGTTATCATGACAAATGAGACTGTAAAGTCATACGCAGACAAGCCATTTTCCATAGTGAAGTATGGAAGTTTTAACACAGGTTTGAAAGGATTTGAAGATGATGCCACATATCATTAAACTGTCAGCTTCAAGTCAATACATAATGAAACTGCTGGGTACAGGTGGCTCACACCTGTAATCCTAGCTATCCAGGAGGCTGAGATCTGAAGATCCATGTGTATAATAATGAATATATTTTAGTCATTATATGTTATAGTTAACGACTTTCATGTAGTTACATTCTGTATGTTTATTTTATTTTTGTCAGTCATGGGGCTTGAACTCTGGGCCTGGGCGTTGTCCCTGAGCTCTTCAGCTCATGGCTAGAGCTCTACCACTTGAGCCACTTCTGGTTTTCTGTTGGTTTATTGGAGACAAGAGTCTCATGGACTTTCTTGCCTGGGCTGGCTTTGAACTTCAATTGAACCGCAATCCTCAGATCTCAGCCTCCTGAGTAGCTAGGATTATAGGTATGAGCCACCGGCACCAGGCTTACATTCTATATGTTTAAATTGTCTTAGCAATTATGCTCTGTGGTTTGTATACTCATTGCTCCTTAAGATTTACAGACATTGAAATTGTTAGAACCATGAGTCAAAATACTGAGCAGATCACAATTTCCTTGTGTCATTTAATACGAGAAGCTTTGTCCTCCTGGCTAGCCATACCCACTATGCTCTGTTTTTTTTTTTTTTTCATGGTATAGAATGGAATTACACCTCTGCACGTGGCTTCTAAACGGGGAAACACAAATATGGTGAAGCTCCTGCTGGATCGAGGTGGTCAGATCGATGCCAAAACTAGGGTAAGTGCCCTTCCTTCTAATTTCCTGCCATTTTTATGTATTTGTTCCCACCTAGAGCACCTCACAGCACTGGTGAGTAAACATCAGCTGTCTGTTTTGAAAGAATTGCTTTCCTGCATTTCATTTAAATCTCATACATCACTTAAAGGTTTCATATCATAAAGTGAAATTAATATGTGCTCACTATTGCACGGAGAAGCAGAGTACTAGTCTCTCACTGAGATGGTTTTAAGGTGTTTCTTCTTCTTCTTCTTCTTCTTTCCTCCTCCTCCTCCTCCTCCTCCTCCTCCTCCTTCTTGTTTTCTGGGAACAGAGATTAAAGATTGGACTTTCACATTTCTGTTTTGGGTTGTTAGAAATACCATCAACCAAAATTTATTGTTTTATTGGCATATATTAGGTTTTAAGAATGTGGCTTTTTCATGAAATATTTTAATATATGTTTAGAATCTATTTTTTTCCTAACCAGTTCCTGAGTGGTGGTATTTTATTGATTTGCTAGTGTGCTTATATGGAAAGAAAGCATGAGATTGGCATATTATGCTTTCACTTCTTTCAGTAGAAGTGGTAGCTTTCATTTCAAACTTAGGTAAAATATCATCCTGTGTTTTTAATGCACTTCCATTAAATGAGATAACAGGGTACGCATGAGAGTGTACTTGTCAACAACGCCAATTCTGGCTAGGAGGTGGTGGCTCTCCATTGTAATCCTATCTACTCAGGAGGCTGAGATCTGGGAAATCACTGAAGCCAGCCCAGGCAGAAAAATCTTTGAGACTTTATGTCCAACGTAATCAGCAAAAAGCCACACTGAAGGAGTGATCCAAGCACTAGAGCACCACACCTAGCAAGCACAATGCCCTGAGATCAAACTCTGCACCAGAAAATAAAGTGTTGAAAGCAAGCCACCTGATTTCCAACCATGGCAATTGACAGCTACTGACATGATTTCACAAAATGTAGAATTGAGGAGCGATATGTTCAAAACTGAGCTCTCCTTAGTATATATAAGCTGGTAGTAAATATAGTATTGGATAGCATTGAGATTTTTTTCTTGAGTAAGTTAAAATGCTTTCTTATCCCTAAGAAATAGGGTTTTAAAATCATTGGTAGGTTCTTTCCAAGCTAGTTATGGCTAAGAGAGCTATGTCCCTCTTATCAAGCACACAATTTAGTAGGAAATTAAATAGAAATCAAGGACTGTGGTTTGGAATTGGTAGGCAAATGCTGGAATTATATAGAATGTGCTTTCTAGCATCCTGTAATATAGCATATTTTTTCTTTTGTATTTTGAAAATATATTTAAAATGAGGTTAAAAATTTTAATTTTCTTAACTCTCATTTTAGGTATGATAATAGAGCTTTTATATATAGATTAAAATTATTCTTCTTCCCTTGTGTGGGAGTTTTCAGTTCTCCTAGGAATCATGGTAATCCCAAATACGTTGAAATTAGTGTATCTGCACAAGAATTTTCCCTTGAATTTTTCATTGCTTTTTCTCATTTAAAAGGTTTTCTTTTTATTTACTAGGGTGTTTTTTTTTAAAATGCTTTTTCTCATTTAAAAGGTTTTCTTTTTATTTACTAGGGTGTTTTTTTTAAAAGTTATTTGTGAAAGGAGATTTCCTGAAGATATTTCCATACGTGTTCATGATATACCTTACTCATCATCATGCCCACCACCCCTCTCTCATTCTCTTTCCCTCTTTTCCCAATCCATTTTCTGCTGGCTTCATTTTCCACTTTTCATATCAGCTCACAAAGTTCTTTGAATATATTCAATTTCCTCACCCTTTCTTTGGTCCCTTCACCCTCTCCCACTGATACGCTCTCCCAATTACTATTATTATGAAGTAAACCTTATCTCTCAGCACCATTTTGTCAGTTATTTAGACTTCAAATCCTGTTGGTTTTCCCTTTATGAAGTAGGTTCAAATGGGAAAGTCAGAGACATTTTTAGTAGAGTCCCTTACTGCTATTGAAAAAAGAAATCCTAATCTTTTTCATGTTTATGTTTAACCATAAATTTTATAACTAGCTAAAATGAAATTATTAATTCAGGCTTATTAAAGGCATTATTCTTTTTTTGTTTTTTAAAACTTATTTATTATTTAAATATGGAGATATTCTATCTGATAATTATGTGTAAGATATTGAAATACACATTTCAGTACAAACAATAAAAGTATACCAAAAACATTAAAAGATGATGAACTAAAAGAGCACATCAGGAAAAGCACTCACCCTTGCTACTTTTGATTAGATGTCATAATTCATAATTAACATAGTAACAATATTACTTACCAGTTGCCATATTCTAGATACTCCCACTAAGCGTTTTACAAATATCATCTTACTTCATTTTCCTAACAGCTCATGAAGTATGCATTATTTTCCTGTTGAGAAAACATGGAAGTCTCCATTGAAGAATGAGGCTACCAAGATGGAAAAATACAGTTAACAGTATTACATAATATGACCAAAACGAAAACCAGTTTTAGTTACTAGCATTTTTATGATGATAGAGACATCAAAAGCCTAACACTAATAGCTCCCACCTGTAATCTGAGCTTCTTGGGAGTTTCAAGTTGAAGGTTCAAAGCCAGCCTAGGCAGAAGAAAAGTCTAGGAGATTCCATCTTTAAGTAACAGCAAGAAAACCAGCAGAGGTGTTGTGCAAGTGGTAGAATGCTAGCTGAGCAAACAAACTGAAAAAATGTGAGGATCTGGGTTAAAAAAAAAAAGAGACATCAAGAAGAATGATGTAAGCAGACTGAAGGAAAGAAGAACTGTTGTAAAGAATGCGTGTGACTGGAACATGCTGTCCCTACAGGTCTGATTGGTCAGAATCCCAGTCATCAATCATGGTGCCCCACAGCACAAGCCCAGCTGAGTGAATGCATGTATCTGGAGCCCATATGGAAAAAATACCTAGAGAAGAACCCCCAGAATGTTCTACTAGGAAGAATACTATATCTCAGAGAAATTATTTCTGTTGAGGGTAACATAACCTGGAAAGATGGTCTTGAAAGTAAAGACACAAAAGATGAGTCATTAAGAGTTTTGGATCAATTTGAAGCTTTGAAAGCGTCTTAATTGTTCATTGTGCTACATTTTCTGTGATTGCTGCCCACACCTCCTCCACCTCTTTCCTTTAATGGATCTTCATATCTTTCCTTAAGTTTCACTTCCTTAGGTGAAGTCATACATTCAGAATTTCATTTCTCCTCTTTTAGATTTTGCTCATTATTCTTCCTTGTTTTCCTTCGCGTGCACACGCGCACACGTGTGTGTGTGTGTGTGTGTGTGTGTGTGTGTGTGTGAGTCATATTGGGGCTTGAACTCAGGGTATAACTCTTTTCACTCAAGTTGGTGCCCTACCACTTGGCCTACACTTCCCCTTCTAGTTTTTGCCTGATCAATCAAAGATTATTGAGGATTTTTCTTCGTCCTGGGCTGTCTTTGAATCACAGTCTTCCCATATCAGCCTCATGAGTAGTTAGGATTACAAGCCTAGCCATCAATGACTGGCCTTAAAATGGTTTAGTCCCTATTTTACCTTATATTTTCTAACTATTCTGCTTTGGGCTCATGCTAAAGGGAAATAAAATAAGACAGAAGTTGGTGATTGCTCTGGAATAGAGGCTGCACCCTAAAAGTCTTAACATCAGAAAAACCATTAACATGTTGCTGGTATCCTGTTTTACTGGATGGAAATAGACCTAATTCTATTTAGTAATACTAAATTACATCTTTGGGAAATAACTATATGATCTTTAAACACTGAAAAATATAGTGGAAATATGAAAAAGCTCCAACCCCTCCACTTTTTTTTTTTTATAACAAGTCTCAGTGTGCACTTTAGGAAATTTTATGTAAGTCGTAGCAGTTCAAGAGAGGACAAGTTAGAAATGAATTTTTAAATAAAAGTTATACTAGGACAGCAAAATGAAAATAGTATAACTTAATATAAACTCAGTTATGATTCCAAACAAGTAGAGCTTTAAATTAAAGTCCAACAAATCCAACATTCTCTCCTTTTCCAACTTCTTGAATGTGCACACTTGGGGACAGACAACAATTTCTTTCCCATAGCCCTCCTAAAGATGGGATTCTCTTGCTGACTCCTGTCTCCGTTTTGACTAGTTCTACTTCCCTCAGTCAAGATCTCTTTCTCTCTTGTTTCCCCCTTAACTCTCTCATTTTCTGTCTCAGAGACAGCTGTTATTTTGTTACAATTCTATAGGGTCACTAGGAGTGAGTTCCTTTTCTGAAGGGCAATAGATGCAATCTAACTTTTTTGTTTTTAAAATTTTTCTTGTAAAGGTGATGTACAAAGGGGTTAGTTACACAAGTCAGATAATGAGGACATTTCCTTTTGAACAGTATCACCCCTTCCCTCATTCTTTCCCAGTTTTCCCTCTTGACTTCCCTCCACTCCAAGTTGTATAGTTCATTTCTAACTAGTGTCTAGAGGGTTGCACTGCTGAATTGGTTCTCCCTTTGTCCCACCATTTCTTTGCTTCTCCTTCCCCTCCCCAAATCAGATAAACATATATAAAACAAAGGGTACAGAAATCAAAAACCCCCAACAAATGGGAATAAACCAAAGAAAAAAAGAAAAGAAGAAAAAAGAACCAATAGTATAATAATAATAGATGATGATGATGATGATGATAAAGCCTCTTCTGTTTCTTGGAGTTCATTTTGATAAGCATCATTTTATTTGATCTTATGCAAATAGCGATTGAGCCCTTGTGATCCTCTTCTAAGGACATCCTCCTTTATTCCCACTGTGTGAATGTTTAGGTTGTTGTTTAATTAATCATGTCCAGATGTAATTATTTGTTTGGTTTTTTTTTTACTATACACTGAGTTTACTTGTAGATTTATGGGCACATTCTAGTGATTACAACTGAGGGAAACCATGCAGCGTATTTTTCTTTGGGTCTGGCTTACTTCCCTTAATGTAATTTTTTCCAAGTCTTTCCATTTCTTTATGAATGGGGCAATTTTCCATTCTTTCTAATGGAAGCTGCAAATAAAAATACACTCACAAACGTGAATGCAGGCCCATTTCATTCTTTATTTCCACAGGATGGGTTGACGCCCCTTCATTGTGCTGCGCGAAGTGGGCATGACCAGGTGGTGGAGCTGCTGTTGGAGCGAGGAGCTCCCTTGCTGGCCAGGACCAAGGTGAGGATAAGATGGGACTCAGAGCATGGAAGCTGAGTTTTGGTCATCTGTTCTTGAAATGAAAGCATAAGCCAAGTATTTTCTAGTTATGTGTGTGGGGGTGGGGGAGCTATTAAAATGGACAGATACATGTATTATGATTGCAGAATATACTTCAGTTTTGCTATATTTTTATATGCTCCTCTTTCTGCTGATGAAAATTGGAACTACATTATATACAATAGGAATTCTCTATGTAAATGAGAATGTCTCTTGTACCCGATGAATCCCCTACATGTTAATAAAATTGTAGAACTATTTTGATAACTGGAATCTCCAAGGTCTGTTAGAGTCGATGAGAATTATTTTCGTGGTTCTGTGAGATAACTATAAAATGCACACAGAATTATCTTTCAGAGCCACATAATTAGCAGTCAAAGATGAATGTGATAGCTTATCCAGTCTTTATGTCTTAAGCCATACTAGTAGACATAACTGCTTAACAGTGCTGCTGCCTGATTACATATGGGGTTAGGAAAAGTTAACGTAAGTAAAGATGAGCCACCTACAACACACCATTAAATAAGAATATTATTCATAATAACATTTGTTGCCTCATTTCATTTATATGCACAAACATGAGAAAAACATTTTTTTCATATGAATAATAACCATATGGTGAGTTATTGGAGATTGTTGTTATCAAAATAGTTTTAAAACTTTATTATCATGTAGTTTCCCATTACCTAGTCTTTCTATGGACTATGAAAATTATCATGAAACAAACTAACATCAATAACAATTTAGTAATCTATGTTAAAAAGCAATTTAGTACTCTTTGCAACACCTGGATCCTTAAGTACAACAAAAATTTAGGTGAAGTCCTCTTCTTGTATTTCTCCCCATACAATGGTTACTTCTTATGTTCCAACAAGATCACTATCAGCTAACCTTGTGTCTGAGACAAACTGACATAAACAGATAGTTTTTCCATTTATATTACTTTTAAATTGTCTATTGACTTGAAATCATTTGGAGCAACCTGGCCCATACATGTAAACTATATGTAGACTGAACTCAGTCTTTAAAGATGTGCCTTACCAGTCCTGGAAAGGTGAAAACTCAAGTCAGAAATATACAAAGGGAAATTAATGATCTGCATTACTTCTGTTTTCAGAAATATACACTGTATTACACAAACTTGTGTTTTAGCCAGGTAGTGGTGACCCACATTTGTAATCCTAGTTAACTTGAGAAGTTGGGATTGTGAGAATCACACTTCCAGACCAAACCAGGCAACCTTCATCTCAGTGTAAAAGCTAGCTGTGGTGGTGCATGCCCATCATATCAGGAAAATATTGAAAGATTTAGTACAGTGCAGAGATACATCTAAACAAGAAGCAAACCTTACCTCAGAAATAACCAGTGCATAAAGGGCTGGAGATTTGACTCAACAGTAGTGCACCTGCCTAGTAAGCATGAAGTTGAGTTCAAATCCCATTTCCATCATATATACATATATATAATATAGATAATGTATATGCATGCATTGTATGGATGCATGAGTAAGGCAATGATAGATAATAATTTAAATGGTAATAAAATTTCAGATCAATCATGCTAATAAAAAAGCAAATCAAGGAGAAACATATGCTGTTCCATGAGTCATATGCTTCTGGAGTTGGTCTGCAATTGTCATATCATACTAATGAAGACCATATATACGGACATCCTCAAGATCAATTATTATTCAGATGTAAGGATCCAGTATGATGTTTGCATGATTGTATCATGCATTTGTATCATTATTAGTTATCATGTGTGAAAAAGACACAAGTTGCCAAGTAACACTCTGGTCACTTGGGGAAAATCAAGAGGAATAATACAACCAGTACATTTTTTAAATGCTTAGAATTATATGGACAAGATACAAGTGGAGATAATGACATAAAGTAGGGCTGTATGCAGGATAAAGAACATGGAGAAGAGGAGCTAATCAGGTTGGAGTTAGGTAATACCAGTGCCCAGAACTGAAATAAATGCCTGATGTCAGTCTGTTGTTCCTCTCTTCAGAATACATTTTTCTTTTTCTCCTTGAAGAAAAAGACTTTTTTCTCCTCGTTTTTTCCTCCTTGAAACAACTTCCCCCCATTCTTTGAAAATCTAGCTCTGCACACTTAATCATCACCATAATCTATTTCCAATTCCCAATCACTTTTTGAGAAGATCAGCAGATGACTTTTCTGGCCCAGCCTTTTAGTGTAATAATTGTAAATCCTCCATAATGTCTAGTTCTACCTTTCTGCTCTTCAACTGCCCCTTCTATGTTTTAGCTTGCTCCTTACACAACCTCAGTAACAGAGGTTCTTTTTATTCTGCTGGGATTTTTCAATTTTCATTTTCATAGAGCAGTAGAAGCTATTTTCTAGAAGAATTTCTGAATAGTTTTTCTAGAATAGTAAATGCTATTTTCTAAAAGAGTTTCCAGAAAAGTTATCTTAGAATAGTGAAATTATTTTTGTAATCTCACTGTTCCTTATTCAGCTTGGGCCCTTTGCCCAGAGTAAGTTCCATAGTCAGTATATCACCTACATATTCACACCAACTTCCTCTCCTTCTCTCCCCCCACCTCTATCCAGCCACACCTAAATGTGGCTACAGTGGCTTCAAAACTATGATCAGGGTCCTGAAATTAGCCATAATGCTGCCCAACAATCACACTGTCTATCTAGCTTTCTGTTGCATTACTAGATTATTTTTTCTCTCTGCATTTCTTAAATTTCTGTTTTTCGACTTCCCACCACACTGAGATCATTAGAGTAATCAGAAGAGGATTTCCACATTCTTCTACCTTTATATCTGTCCAATTACATGAATCAGAACCCATATTGTCTAGAATCTCTACATGTACTGTTAATCTTACTCCTCTCAATACATTTTCTTATTTGTCTTCCATGGCATCATATGTAATATATATACATATATATACATATATATACATATATAGACAGATAAATAGATAGATAGATAGATAGATAGATAGATAGATAGATAGATAGATAGATAGATTTTCTCCTTTTTCTAGTCTTCACTTCTCAATTTCCTTTATAAGTTCCTTCTCATCTGTCAGGTCTTTAAATATCATAACTCCAGAACTCTGCTTTGTATCACTTCCTGTCTTTCTGCACTACTTGCTATAAAATCTTTAAATAATGTCCAAGTGCTGATGACCCATGCATCATATGTTCATGTCAGTTTTCCCTGACCACTTGGATGTCTATTGAGCAGCTCAAATTAAGTTCAGAATCCAGTTTATGATTGTATTATCCCCATTTCCAGCCTTAATCCTCCTATTCTCACTCTTTTAAAATCCAAATAACCCCATTGAACTTTTCCCCAAAATTTCTCAGACCTAATAGCTCATATCATGCTAAATGCTTCTTTTACACTTTTTTACTTCCTATTTCCAACCCCTCCCCACTTCTTTCAAGTGTATCATGAAGTCAGCAGCTTCTCAACAGTTTCAGTAAAGTAACTCTCATCCAGGTCATCCTCCTCCTGATGGCTTCAAGAAGCTGCTAAGTAGTTTCATGTCTTTTCCTTTAGCCCAGTCCATTCACAAAACAACAGCCAGAGTAATTCTTTTGTCCTGACCCATCTATCTTCCAACCTAGAAAACAAGACTAGGAAGACTGGTAGTCTGTGTTCTCAGTACTTGAATAAGGTTTGAAGAGTGCCTGCTCAGTAAATAAGTTCAAAAGGAACAAAGGATGGAATGGTGCCTATTTTATTTTTTACATACTATTATGTGAATAAAACAATATTGAAGAATGATAAACTTTCAGAGAAATATTCAACCTCTGGTACATACACTGTTGAGGTCTAAAATATGTTTCCCACTGAGCAATTCCCTTCCTCTCCAGTTCATTACTAACTCCTTCTAAAAGTTTATTTTATAGATTTCTAAATATAAAAGCAATAGTTATGAGTTAACATTATTTCAGAAACAATAATACTTTTAATCACTTGAACTCATAAGCTGTCACAAATAAGATTTTAATGTAACTGCTTTTTAGATGTTTATCACTTCAAAAAATCACCTTACTTGTTAAGAAATGTACTCATTATCTTGCCCATGTAAGTGTAACTCCTCTGTACAGTATTTTCACAGTAAAAAAATAAAATAAAATAAATTTTAAAAAAGTACAACTGAAAAAAAAACCTACATTCATGAAATCAAAAAAATAAATTAAAAAAATCACCTTACTGACTGAGACTATTGGGCTGTGGCCCTTTTCTAGTATCTCATACAGATAGGTTCTGTTTTGAATGAATTGCTTATCCAATTGGTTACTTGGTCAATGATCCTTTTGCTAGTGACTGTATTGGAATTCACAAGCAAAGAAAATGTTGTCTCTTAATTGTACAATATTCTACTAATGTGTTCCTTATTCTTTCTAATTTAATATATATTTTCTTGAAATTTATTTATTGAACTTATTTAAAAAACGTTAGGTTGATAATGAATAATATTATACCCTGCTATCATGTGTTTCTGCTACTGACTGCCTTATAGAATTGAAGTGAAAGCTATTTGGAACTATACCAAAAATTTAGACTTGCGTCAGTGACCTTGTGAGGTCAATGATACACACATAGTTCACTTCAGTTTCTCCCTCTTCTAACTCTTACATAAGATCACTGGAAAAAGCCATCACAGAACATGAGAACAGGGTGGACTTAAGAGATAGCAAGAATTTCCTTATCTCTAACCTATTCCATCTGTTCCACCTTCACCTGCCAAACCCTCTATTTATAGGTAAAGAAACATTGGCAGAGAGAACTGAATGTACACTCCTGTGTATGGAGTGGGATACAAATAATTTAAGCTATAGCTATCACTTATTTTTGTATATACACTACTTTCTTGATAATTATAAAACTAGGCTTAATTGCCACAAATATTATGCATTCATTCACAAAGAGCATATTTGTCTTTTGCTGAAAAAATAACGTAATTATAAAGTTAAATGTTCTTTTAATTTCCTCTCCACTGAAGAGAATCTGTCATCTATCAAATATCAACTAGAAAGTATCAGATATTGAATAGATATAAAATCGAAAGCATTTCTCCCCCTGCCAGTAACCGTGTTAGAGATCAAGAAGCGACTTTACAATGTCTTAGAACAAGAAAGTAATTTAAACACAAGATGATTGTGTTTTGCTTGATGTGCAGAATGGCCTGTCTCCACTTCACATGGCTGCCCAGGGGGATCACGTGGAATGTGTGAAGCATCTGCTACAGCACAAGGCGCCTGTTGATGATGTCACCTTGGACTACCTGACAGCCCTCCATGTTGCTGCACACTGTGGCCACTACCGTGTAACCAAACTCCTTCTGGACAAGAGAGCCAACCCGAATGCCAGAGCTCTGGTAAACCTGGCCTAGTCCACATTCATGGGAATAAGCAAACCCATACTGCTTGACCAATGTTGCCTACACTGTTGTACATGGTGACAGATACGTAGTCAGTACTTCTGAGGTTGTCACCACCTACAACTTGTCTGCCTAGTTCATGCCTTCATGGTTGTGAATAGATAATGGTGGGCAAGGATAGATTTAAGAGAGCATCAATGAAGCATTTCTAAACCATTCCGTTGCAATCAGACAGTATGGGATTCTAGAGTGGTGAGTGATTTTGTTTTAAACTGAAAAAAAATAGAGGTTGAAAAGTAAGAAATGATAAAGTAAGTTCTTGATACTAGGTACAGTCTGGATACCAGAATGAAAAAAAAGGTAAACTTTATTAATCTCTTTTGAAGAAAAAAAAAGGAGAATTGAAATGATGAACATATGTGATATGTAAGTGTGCAGAGTGGGTGGAAGGTTGACTTGGAGATGTTCCTAAGTACCATCATAGATAAATAGGAAATGATGCTTAGTTTATTATTTATGAGAAAGCATTTGATAGAAACCAGCCCAGTAACTACGTAAGGAAAAAATGTAACAGGCCATCTCTAGAGCAGCTCATTTTCTTTGCTTTGCTTATACTCTAACAATAATTGTTGGGAGCATTGGGCATGTACTAATTATGGCTGCCATTTCTTAGTTCTTAATCTGAGAGCACATCCTTTTTTCCCCTATATGCTAGTATGGTTTATGTTAGCTAAAATTCTTCTTCAATTAGTATTTAATAAAACACCATTAAAATCATGAAATATTAAATAGTCTTATTTGAAAATTTTTATTAGAATTGATTCATGGGTAGTTATTTGGGAAGTGACTGTATTATCAGGGCTCTGTACAGTTGCATGAGGATATTTATTTTCTTTACTTTTTTTCCCAAAAGTTATAGCTATCTTCATATAATAAGGAAAAGTAGAGAGAAATGGAGACAAAAGAGAAGCATTTCCTTCTCTTCCTGACAAGAAATGGGAGTTAAAGACTCCTTCATTTTCTTCTAAGCAGTTGAAAATGCTTTTTCCTATTGTGCAGTGATCAATAATCTTATGAAATACCACAATTTAATAATTGCAAATACCTTACGTATCACAAAGACATGAAACTATTTAGATCTGACTTACTCTAAAGTTTATAAATAGGGACAGTAACTCAACAAGCTAATTATGTTTATTATTGTACTGTATAAAAAATCATTAGCTTAAGTAAGACCATATGCATTCCTGGGAACTATTAGCATGTAAAAATATTGCCTGACAATCATCTTCCTTTGGGACATGTAGAATTGCTAACTAGGGGAATACACATAGCTCAATAAATGATCTATATTCAAGTAAAAAATATAACACAAGACAATTTAGCATGGAATGAATTAAATTTTATATAATTTCCAATAACGTCCAATTCTTGGACATTAGCGCATTTGTCAAATTACGAAGTTCCTTATAGATTTCCCCTCCTTTCTTTTCTTCTCAGAGGCATCTTCTTACAATTATCCAGGAATTGTCTACACTTTCCTTGAAAATCTTCAGAAATTTAATCATTTTATTATAAAACAAAATATAACATGGGAAACAAAGTATTAAAAATAATTGCAGCTGGGCACCAGTGGGGTTGCTCACGACTATAATCCTAGCTTCTCAGAAGGCTGATATCTGAGGATCACAGTTCAAAGCTAGCTGGAACATGAAAGTCCATGTAACTTTTATTTCCAATTAACCACCCAAAAGCTGGAAATTGAGCTGAAGCTAAAGTTACAGAGCTCTGGCCTTGAAAGAAAAAAACAAAGCACAACAAAACTAAGGAACATTGCCCAGGCCTTGAGATTAAGCCCAGAGCAAGCATAAAACAAACAGGAACTTTCAACAGAAAATGTAATGTCTGAATATAAATACGTTCAGCTAATTGGGAACACTTGCAAAATGATTTAGAAACCTGGGATATATATTAAGGAGGCAGTCAATATTAGATTTTGAACATAGACAAACACTTGATATGCTCTGAGAAATGACCTCGCATCATAAAAATACTTGTTTCTATTCAATTCTTCAACTCTTCATCACCTGGATAATCAGCCTAAAACTTAGGGATTCTGAAATACAGTTGTCTTCTGTGTTTGCTCCTTAGAAGAACAAACTCTTGGGTACTTTGTTTCATCTGTAAGAACACAGCAGAAATACATACAAACCAGCCCCCAAGAAGCCAATAGGCACACGTTCCCGCCTTGCTTTCCCCATGCCAGTCCCTGCAGGATTTGCCAAAATGGTGACATGACGTGACCTATGTAACATTATTGCTTGCAATGTGCCAGCAGCATGTGGAGTTGTGTGACAACCGTTTCTGCATGTTTTCCACTAACTTGATTGTCTTTTGCACAGAATGGTTTTACTCCACTGCATATTGCCTGCAAGAAAAACCGCATCAAAGTCATGGAACTGCTGGTGAAATATGGGGCTTCCATCCAAGCTATCACAGAGGTAGAAAAAACCAATGTTTCAGCTTGTCACGACACATCCCTTTCTCTCACACCTTCTTTCACCTTTTTCTCCTTCTTCACCCATCTCTGTCCTCTCCACTCCACTTTGATTTATCTGAAGAAGCCCCAAAACCTCACTGGTGCAGAGGAGTAAAACTCCTGTTGCTTTGTTTCGCAGTCTGGCCTCACACCAATACATGTGGCGGCCTTCATGGGCCACTTGAACATTGTCCTCCTTCTGCTGCAGAACGGAGCCTCTCCAGATGTCACTAACATTGTGAGTATGGCTTGGGTCAGCATAACTGCGAGGAGGAGAGGCACAGTGTGTGTGTATGTGTGTGTGTGTGTGTGTGTGTGTGTGTGTGTGTGTGTGTGATCAGAACAGGGAGCTCAGTGTTGAGAAGGGTTCTTGAAAAATATACGGAAATAAGGCCAGATCCTCACTGAAAGCCTCAGTAAGGCAAGCGGTGTTCTAGGAAACAAGATGGACGCTGTGGAAATGAGACAACTTAAGTTTTCCAGTGCAGATAGATTGAACATACATCTAAAATGCATTGAGTGGAAATGGAGGTGTGGCACACATGTACAGTGCCAGCCTTGCGTGAGAAAGCCAAAATGAGGTTGTGAGAGTCTGAGTTCAAGACCCAGTACTGACACACAAAAAATAATAAATGAATGCTATTTTACATTCTTTTTATCTTATCAAAAAGTTAAAGTATAAAGTCATTAAAAATAGGCAGTCTGGATGGGTGCTGGGTGGCTCATGACTATAATCCTAGCTCAAGAGGCTGAGATCTCAGGATCATGGTTCAAAATCAGCCTGGGCAGGAAAGTCTACGCTACTCTCATCTCCAATTAACCGCCAGGAAACCAGAATTGGAGTTGTAGTCCAAAGTGGTAGAGTTCTGGCCTTGCACAAGAGCTCAGGGACAGCACCCAGGCCCTGAGTTCAAACACCACAACAAAAAAAGAAAAAAGAAAAAAATCAAGTCTGTTTTTATATTTCCCTAATTATAACTTATTGCTCCTGAAGTAAGAACAGTATGCGGTAATCTCTAATTACCAAGTACAAGAGAAACTTCACAACCTGCCAACCTGAGTTTAATTTTTAGCAGTTCTTTAGAACTCTAGACTAATTCATTATCCTCACCCCTCACCTTTAAAGAATGGCAAACAAAACAAAGACTTGAACAGATTTATGTTTAGGCCAGTAACTTCCAAGAAAAGTCCTCTATGTTCTAGCTTACCTTTCCCTCCCCTATCTTTTTTCATTTTTCCTTAGTTGCACTTAAATACTATGGAATCGTAGGAGCAATAGAGACCCTATGTCAAATTATGTTATCATGTGAAATGGCAGTAATATCTCGTTACAAATATATCCACTGAGATGCTTGACAGAAATTCCCTAGGGTAAATATTTTTTCATTTTGGGAAAGTGTTTTTTTTTTTTTGCAAACGTTTCAAAGAATAACCTACACACATTCTATTCTCTTTTTTTTATTGTTTTAGTCTTTATTTCATTAATTTCTGTTCTTAATTGACCAATTCCAATATTTAAATGGTTATGTGGTTCCAGTATGTTGGGTGTAATGGAGCTATATAGACTGCATATAGATTTTCCAAAGAAAAGAAATAATACTCTGAGGCCTACAATAAAAAAGTTTCACTCACTTTTAGGGTTTTACAGACTCTCAAATTTGATCACCTCTGTATATTACTTTAATTCCTGGTTTTCAGTTATTCTAAAGTCATTCATTTTGGTTATTGATTCCTTGGACCATTACTTTCTGCTTTCTTCAGGAAAAGGACTTGGGGAACACCAGCTTAATCCTCTTCTCAGTACCAGTCCTGGTTATTTTTTGTTTATTCTTATTTATTTTTAGAAGTTGTGACCTTCAGGGAGCAGATGCCTATAGGTAAAGTTGCCAGAGAAAATACAAGAGTCCCCATTAAAATTCAATTTCAGATACCAATTTGATTTTTTTTTAGTATAAGTATGTCCCATACAACAGCTGAGATGTGAACATAGTTATTCATTGTTGGTCTGGAATTAAAAATGTAGCCATCTGTATTTTTATTTGCTAAAACTGGCAATCCTGCATTTAGAAGCATTTTCAGTTTCTCTAGCAGTGGGATGCCTGTGAATGTGTGTATCCTCAGAAGCTGAGTATTTGGTGACTGGATCCAAAAGCTTTTGCAAATGAATTATGAAGTGTGGATACTGACCCGATTGCCTGCTTGCTGTGACAGAATTGGTCATTTCCTGACCCCTCTCCCATCCAAACACCTTGGCGCCTTTGTGTGTTGCCTGAAATCATGTTGCATTTTTTGAATGCAATGCTGTCTGTGTGCTTCGATGCTTTTCAAGTTCATGGGCAAAAGTGGACGTTCCTGTAGCTGTCTGCAGTCAGCTTAACCACTGAGAAGAGGGGCATGAAGTTTAGCACCTGCTTTGGACATGAGCAAACCCATTCTCTTGTCGCTCTTGTTTTGTGTCTGAAAATTCACCGCAAGTGTGAAATGTACCAGGAACTCAATCATATGCAGATACTTTTCCTGAAAATTTCCTTTGCCAGGAAGCTTATGAAAGCACTTCCAAACCCTTGGGTAGCTTCTCTGCCAGCTACACCCCACCCATAGCCCAAAGGATTCACTGAGGATTATGGGAGTAGAAAAGCAAACTCCATTAGGGTGATGGATGTTACAAGCAGAGCATTTATAAAGCTTTCTCTTCTTCCTGTAATGAGTCAATGGATTCATGGTAAAGTTCACATTTTATATTATGCTTTAAAAACATTTATGCTCTTTTATTAGTTAAAATGAGGAAAATAAGGCTGAGACAGTATATCGAACAATAAAGAAATGTAAGCAATATTGAACAAAACAATAGGACACCTTTCATTTTCTTATTTATACAGGTATAAATAATGTAAATATATAAAAGAGTAAGGATAATTTCGCATCGATGTCATTTATTAATAAGAATTCAGTAAGTTCATTGTTATGAAGCAGAGATACTTTATGTGTGTTCCTTAGCACTTTCCTTTGTTTATAAAGTTTAATGCTTTAATGTAGGCTCACATCCCATTCATGTATTTCAAACATATAAAACAACATCTTTTAAGTATAAAATAAAGATCACCAAAATATAAAGACTATTTCAAGATAATAAAAATGTTTAGAAACATTTTTAGATTTTTAAAATATACCCATATTAATAATTTGACTTATAAAATTTACCATTGAACATGAACTGGAACCTTTAGGATTTTACTTAGGAGGAAATTTATTCTTGCCTTTATTTCTACCAGAATTAGTAGAACTGCTAACCCTTTTGTAATCACATCTGGATATTAAGTTTTGCCTTGTATTTTAAAAAAGTAGCTAGTTGTTTATTCAGAGACCAGTTGTAAGTGATATAGAAAAGAAGTTAGAAATTGGTTGTACAGAGAGAAAATCTTGCACTACTTCTCAAGCATGGAAGCAAATATTGCTACCCAATTAACCTGCTGTTTGTTTAAAAAAACAAACCCAACAAACTCCAGACACACTATTGTACAAAAGTCAAAATTTTCAGAATAATTTCAGAAAAGGTCAGTAGAGGGAAAAAAGTAATCGACAAAGAAGAGAAAGGAAAGGAAAGACATCAATTCAATGTTTACACAATCCAATCACTGGGCATGAATTTCTTGTAACTTCATATGGAATGGTTCTCTGAACAGTTAGGAAAATGAACTATGAGAGACATACTACAGTAAACATTCACTTTAAATTTTCCAGATTGGTCTACCATATACATAACCACAGCATGTTCTTCACACGAATTTGCCAGAAATAACCACAACCAAATTTGCAAGGGCTACCGCTGACCTGAAATAGTTCACTTGCCTGGCTGACACTATATGTTCTAGATCAGTTGTGACAAATTAAACTGTCCTAATTTTTATTGCGATATTGTATACAATTAGTTGAATGAATGGATGAATGAAGGAAACCCTGCCTTTTTTGGTAACAACGGCTTACCAACTAGAAGATGACTTACATCTAGCCCTTCCCCTTGCACTTCCCTGTGGGTGCATCAGACCTTGGTAGAACACAAAGCTATCTGAAGATAGGTTTATCGCTGACCTCAAGCGATGCTGCTGCTAACTTACTTCCCTGAACTCAATTCACTGTCTGTAATCAAATATGCTTGCTAACATAAATAGAGCACATCCTGGGCCAATCGGATTTTGTATATAAACAGTTAATCGCCAAGCCTCATAAAACCAAATCAGATGCGAAACAGCTAATTTCAGAAATGAAGTTTAAGTTTTGGGACAGGAAGTCATTTATGTATGGTACAAATGTGGTTTTCCTTTTGCCGTGTGATTATTTGATCTTCAACATCTCAAGTTCCCCATTGAAATGGGATAAATGATAAGTTTTAGGTTTATAAGCAACTTTCTCATCAAAGTCATGTCAGTTATGTTAGCTTGACTGTGAAATCAAATTCAATTGCAGGTTATCCTAGGTGTTTGGATAAGTTTACTAATTTGTCATGACAGAACAATTTACAAAAAAACTAAGCTTTATCCTTATAAAGATGGAGAAGATACAAAAAGATCCATATTTTTCCAACTAAATAACTTGGCCTTTTCATATACTTCTAAAACCCATGGATATATTGCCGAATTTCGTTAACTAAGGGACCTGTATGTTTAAGGACCCAGAGCAGCGGGTTTATTTATGACTGGGTGATCTTTCTTTCCCGGCAGCGTGGTGAGACTGCCCTGCATATGGCGGCTCGGGCAGGGCAGGTGGAAGTCGTCCGGTGCCTCCTGAGAAACGGTGCCCTGGTGGATGCCAGAGCCAGGGTAGGTGCTGGTGCTCCAAAGTTCTCTTCTGGGCCAGTGTATGTGACTCATCTTGTTTGTTGGTTTGTTGATTAACAAATATTTATTTCCAGTATTGGGGCTTGAGCTCAGGGCCTAAGAATTTCCACTGAAGGATGGATCTCTACCACTTGAGCCAGAGCTCCACTTGGGATAGCTTCAGTTTTGAATTAGAGATAAGAGTCTCATGGGTTTTGCTGTCTGGGCTGGCTTTGATCTGTGATCCTCAGATCTCAGCCTCCCAAGTCATCAGGATGATAGACATGAGCCACTGGTCACTGAGATGAGACTTATTAAGAGAGGCTCTTGTTCTTTGATTCTTTGAGTTGAACATGCCATGGAGTACAGTTCAAAAAGTTTCTTAGACAGAAAGTAAATAAATAAATAAGAGTGAGGATACATAATAAAAAATGTCCATCTTAACATTTAAAAAACATAACATCGACTTACCCAGACCAGTAAACCAGGTCCCAGAGGTCAAATGTTGTCAGTAGATTTCCTTAGCTAGGAGCTAATGACTCTGTCTGTGGTTTGGTCCTAAGAGAGACTTATGTATCCAAGCCCATAACACTTCAGTAAAACTTTTTGCAGGGGTAAGTAAAGTTATTGTCATTCTTGGAAGTGGAGGGGTGGCTCAAGGGGTAGAGTACCAGCTACTTTTGAGCGGAAAAAGCTAATTCAGAGTATGAATACCTGACTTCAAGCCCTAGAATTGGCATGCTCACATATCATGGTTACTCTTTTGATGGAGGTGACCTGCCTCCAGTCTATTAAGTGTATTCTTTTCCTGACCTACTTTTCTGTCACTTGTACAGAGAAGAGAGAGTGTGAGAGTGAGAGGAGAGAATGAAAGCAAAAGAGGGAGATAGCATTGATTTAGATTTTTATTTATTTTTAGTGGTAGTGGAGTTTGAACTCAGGGCTTTGTGGGTGATAGGCAGATGCTCTCCCATTTGAGCCATGCCTCCAGCTCTTTTTTTCTGTGGTGGGTTTTGAGATAGGGTCTGGCTTTTTGTTCAAATGTCCCTGGGACTTCAATCCTCCTGTTTATACTTTCCAGTATAGCTGGGATGGCAGGTTTTCACCGCTAGCATATTTCCTGCTTTTTTTTTTGATTGAGATGGCATCTTGGAGTGTCTTTGCCTGGGCTGGCTTTGTGTCCTGATCTCAGCCTGCCATGTATGTGAACTGACAAATGTCTGCCATCACACCCAGTTATTGATTGAGATGGGGTGTCTCACAAACATTTGCTCCTGACTGGCCTCAAACTATAATCCTCCTTATTTTTGTGTTTTTAATAGGTAGGGTTATAGCACAAGCCACCAGTGCCCAGCAAAATTTTAATATTTTTTTAAACGTAGGAAACTATTCATTTTCAGGAATTTAACAATCTCTCTTACATTACATGGATATAAAATTATTCATAGCTCCCAAAGTCAATCCATCTTCATTGTTCTTAAAAGCTACTTAACAGTTCGTTATTCTCAAAATTTTCGTGGTTTCCCTTCACCTGCTTCACTTTCTTCTCTTGTGTAAGGAGAGCCTCTTTGCTTTTTACTCTGAGTTCTATGTATTCAGATATTCTGCATTTCCACTATTTTATAATGGAAGAGTCTGGACACTACAGATGGATCAGACTTGTCTTGTTTTCTAATGACTTCAAATGCTCTCACAGGTTATATTTTTTCTTTTCGTCTTCAGTTTTCAAAATTGTATTTCCTGATTTTATTTCTCATTTGTGTGTGTGTGTGTATGCGCACACACATGTATGTCTGTGTGTGTGTGTGTGCGCGCACACACATGTATGTCTGTGTGTGTGTGTGCATGTACTGGGGCTTGATCTTAGGGCCTGGGCACTGTCTCTGAGCTTTTGTGCTCAAGGTTAGTGCTCTACCACTTGAGCCACAGATCGACTTCTGGCTTTTTTTAGTGGTTAAGTGGAGATAAGACACAGACTTTCCAGCCTGGGCTGGCTTCAAAACACCATCTTCAGATCTCAGACTCCTGAGTAATTTCTCATCTTCTTTCTTTATCCGGATCACCAAAGGAATGTTGGTCAATGTGTTGTATCTTCCATTTTCTTTTCTAGGCTGTGCTATTAAGTTTTTCAGTATCATCACTGGAGTTCCTTTGAACTATGGAAACCCTTTTTACCGTATCCAATACTTGATAAACCCAAGTTAAGGTAAAATTCATATGAGTCATAACATGCTGGTTCCATTAGGGAAATAAAAACTGAGTTGAGTCATGAAAATCACTTGCATAAAAATGATTTCAAGCAAGTCACTTGCCTTCTTTGTCTTTATCATTAAAATATGAGATTAGGGCACAGACAACTCAAAAATCTTTCCCAGACATTGTTTTATGACTCACTGAATTTAATAGGCATTTATATGTATATATACATATATATATTTTTTTTTTTACAGTGAGTTCTATGGATGATCGTGAACTTGAAATTTGTTGGCAGAAGCTTTGACACATGAGCATCTGTGATATAACTGTCTTTGGTTTAGTCTTTATCTGCCTGTCTATCCTTTTTGTGAGAAGTACAAACATATTCTCTAGTAACTACTACAGTGTAACTGTGCTTTAGTTTGCCAACAGTATTATTCCAATGTCATTTTTCTCTCTCTTTTTAAGATTCCTTGGCATTTCAGTGTTTAAGAACTATTTCTACAGTTAACCAGAAGCATCCCAAGTGTGATGAACTTCACTATTATTCAGAAATTGTATCAATGTTTCTGGTATAGTTTTTGCATTCTACGTTTAATAACAAATAACTTTACCACTTCTTTCTCTTAAAAGAAAACCCTTTGTTACTTTCCTGATAGTAAAATTGTAATTATTCAATTTTTAATAGAGTGTACGTATTTCCTTAGATGCATGCCATTTTTTTCTATAGTGTTTTAACCTATTATTATAGCCTTCCACTATTTTGGATACCATTGCAAAATCCACCTTTAAAAAATATGACTGGCAATGGTGGAGAATAATGGAGTGACTCTGATGAGCACGTACTCAAACATTAACATGTTGAATTGAAACCCTGTGTGCAACAGTTTACAGATAACAAAAATGGATCAAAATGGGTGAATAGTCACCAAAGAGGAAATAATAAAAAAACAACTTTGGTGGCGGTGGTGGGAAGATCGGGAGGGGGGAGGTGGGGGGAGTATGGGAAGGGCTGGGAAGGGGAAACAAAGAGGAGGCAACAATGCTTAATAAGAAAGGAACTCGTTATCTTGCCCAGGTAACTGTAACTCCTCTGTACGGTATTTTCACAATAAAAAATTTAAAAAAAATGTTAAGTTATTTAGAAAACTGAAGGTCAAGATCACCAGATGTTCTGTACTTCTTTCAAACTTCTTTTTTTTATTGTGAAAATACTGTACAGAGGGGTTACAATTACATGGGCAAGATAATGGGTACATTTCTTATCAAGCATTGTAGCCTCCTCCTTTGTTTCCCCTTCCCATCCCTTCCCATCCCTCCCTGCCCTGCCCCCCAGCCAATGTTGTAAAGTTCGTTTTTCGACATAACGACTTGCACATCTCATTATTGCAATGGGTCTTTTGATATTTCATGGCCATGTCATGCAAGGCTTAATCACATTTCTTTTTCTTATTTTTTCTTCTTCCTCCCTCCCTCCCTCCCTCCCTCCCCTCCCCTCCCTTCTTTCTTTCTTTCTCTCTTTCTTTCTTTCTTTCCTTTCCCCCTGATGCTTGAGCTCTGAGCCTGTTCACTGTCTCGGAGTTTCTTTTGCTCAAGGCTAGCACTCTACCACTTGAGCCACAGCACCACTACCAGTTTTTTGTTAGTTTATTGGAGATAAGAGATGCATGGACTTTCCTGTCCAGGCTGGCTTTGAACTGAGATCTTTAGATCTCAGCCTCCTGAGTGGCTAGGATTACAGATGTGAGCCACCAGCGACTAGCTCTATTTTTTAACATATAACAAAAGAAAGCACCACATTGAGTCACACAGTCTACATAAACATCTATTTGTTTTTTAATCTACATAAATATCAAATTTCTTTTCAGCAGTACTATTTATCCAACGATGCCACTGAGATCTTTTCTATAGAGCATCCTTCTGTTAAGAGTAGATAGCCAGATCCCAGTGGCTCACAGCTGTAATCCCAGCTACTCAAAAGACTGAGATCTGAGGACTGTGGTCCAGAGCCTGCCCTGCAGGAAAGTCCCTGAGACTCTTATCTCCAATAAACCACCAGAAAACCAGAAGGGTGCTGTGGTTCAAAGTTGGACAGTGTTGGTCTTGAGGAAAAAAGCTCAGGACAGCAGTAGGCCTTGAATTCAAGCCCCATGACTGACCAGAAAAAAAAATTAGGAAATTGGTCTGGGAATGAGGTTTAATGGTAGAGTGTTTGGCTAGCATGCATGAAGCCCTGGATTTGATTCTTCAGTACCACATACACAGAAAAAGCTGGAAGTGGTATTGTGGCTCAGGTGGTAGAATGCTAACCTTGAGCAAAAGAAGCTCAAGGACAGTTCCCAGACCCTGAGTTCAAGCCCCAGGACTGGCAAAAAAATTAAAATTAAAAATATAAATTAAAAATAAAAATTAAACCATACCCTACAGAGCAAGACTCCCAAATTTCAGTGAAAATTACCTGATACCTGATTTCAGTGCCCCTTGGGGCTCCATTCCACATTTCTAGCAAGTGCACAGATGACAGCCAGGCTCCTCTCTGGGGGCTGTATTCTCTGAGCAGTGGCCAAGGAAGCTTTTCTTTTCACTTGTTCTATTAAAAGGAACATTTACACCACAAATTTTCGACTTCCACTTACTTAATCATTTGATGTTTTCCTGGAATGGTGTGGTTTGGGCTAACGTGTTTGCAGAGCCCTGCAATTCAGAAAGTGTTTTGAACACCGTGTATCATATGGAATAAACCGGGAAGTCCTGTGCTGCAGGGTGGTTTTGAGTTCAAAAGTGTTCTCATTTGCATATGGTCATAGCTTCAGGGTAGAAAGCAGATTTCTGCTGTGGCTCACTATCTTTCTCATAACTCCCTCTTTTGAGAGGCAGAGGTGAACAAGGCAGTGGGGGAGCTGTTATCTGCCTTTCCTCATTACTTCTCACTTGAAATGCAGTGAGCCCTGCTCCTTCTCACCCAAGCACATCACTGGCTTCTAATGAATGCAATTCCCTTCTTGAGCAAGTGTCTGGCCAGGCTAGAGCATCAAGCCTGGGCCCAGACACATTTTGTGGCCCTTTTATCAGATGGAGTAGGAAGAATAGGGATTTCTCTAGAGCCTCGTGGGGTGTGGTATGTCCACTTCCCCTAAAGCATGTTGGGGTGGGGGCTGTTCTCAGAGAAGAGAGCAAGGGGAAAAAATGAACACAGAGCTTCTGCTCTGTTTTACTTCTTGATTTCCAAACACACACACACACACACACACACACACACACACACACAGGTGCAAGTGTCATACTGTAATTCCAAAAAACAGAACCCACTCTACTGTACAAACAGAAGAGATGGGTTGAGTGACAGGAATGTCTTGGGGAGTACAAGTGTTGGGTACACTTGGGTTCACCTCTCGGGAAGGTTTTCTTCTTGTCTAAAGTGAATACAACCAAACAAAGCACCAGGGCCTATCTGCCCTGCTGGGAGCTCTTGCTTTAAGGGGTGGGGTACAATGCTTTGGGCATTGTACAACCACAGGGTCACCAGGCTTCAGTAAGTTGCCCTGAAACTGAACTCCTACAAAATGTTAGAGAACTCTTAGGGAAGTTAAGTCCCACCAGCTTGCTAGCCAGTCAAAAACAGTAGCAATGGCACCCATTGTTTTGAATGTAGCTCCTGCCACTGTGATTTCTGTCTATAAAAGGGATTGAGGCTTAGGAAGATTTTCCTAATGTTGGTAGATTGGAAAAAACCAACACAGGAGGTGGGCCGTGGCTAAACACAGGAGGGGAGCCTGGCTACTTCTCAGACTGCATCACAGTCCTAAGGTGCTTCATGATGCATTTGGAAGAGATGCAGGAGATCAGGACTCCCCATCCGTGTATGTGATATTTCCATTTACACTTTTATTGGAGATGGACTCAACATTGTAAAAAAAAAGGTATGTGACTTACACTTTCTCTCTCTCTCTCTCTCTCTCTCTCTCTCTCTCTCTCTCTCACACACACACACACACACACACACACACACACATCCTATAACTAAAGAACAATAGCTACCACTGGCCATGCTAATCAAAGATTGCTTCTTCTCAGCTCTGGATTAAAAATAAGATCATCATTGCCTTCCCCTCCCTACTGCAATGAAAAGCACATTTGAATGTTTGAGTGTGGTTTTCTTCACTTAACCTCGGTCGAGGTCTGTGGGGGACTGAGAGGTGGGTGTTCTCTGTAGCTTTCCTGTCTTTTATATTTCATGGATGTTTCAATTACTACTTATTTTTGTAAAGGTCCATTTTCTTCATCTGCTATTGGGACCCATCTTGTCCTGGTAGTTCTTTTTATGGCTGTCTCGTAGTGTCTATTTCTATAGAATTCACAGACAAAGAAACATTGTTCAACCCAGTGCCTGAATTCAAATTCTGTTTTAGTAGTTTCATGACCTTGGGCAATCTTTGAGAACTCAGTAAATTCCTTTTAATCTCTTTATCACAAAAACCCAGTGGTTTAATAGTACATTTTATACCTTTACTTCTGTCTAAAGATATGCATCATACATGAATGAAATGGATAAATTACCTAGCTTGACCACATCCCAATTCTTTGGTTAAAATAACCTTATTGCTATCATATATTATTTGCTTCTTGCCATGCTAAAATCCATGCAATGCTTATAGCATCATTAAAACAAATAACATTGAGGTATTGCGTTTATTTGCACAAATCTATTCTATCTTTCCTCTATTCATTCACAGCCTTGGACTCTAGCCCAGATCTTCATTCTTCACTTTTTATTATGACTCACCCTCGGGTAGATTGTAAAGATACACCCCTTTGTCATCACTTAAGGTTGAACTCGATTTTATTTTTACACAAGACAGTTATTTGGCCTGGTTCTCTTCACCCTGAAAACATCAATCCTGACTAGCGGTTACGATCAGGTGACTTCATGAGCTTTCTTGAGCAAGTCCTTCCTGTCCCTTATCCCCAGCTCTAGCCTCTCTCCCTTTCAACTAAGAACACTTGGCAAGTAGCTCATTCCGCTTGCTTATTGCCAGAGCCTCAGTTCATCTTTGAAGTCCTGGATGTGAGTCGCAGACTCAACAGCAGCATTTCCTGGAACAGTGGCTTTTAAAACCAGATTACAATGTCTTCTTTATGCAGTTTCTCCTTGAAGAAAATGACCAGCAGTTGTATCCCTGGCTTACTGAATAGAGTAAGAACAAAATTTTTCCAGCTTCCCTGGGTCATTTTCACTTGATACAGCTCCCTGAAATAAATCCTTCCTTTTAAGTAAAAAAAGCTCTTAGAGGATGATCTGGGTCTTAAAATTCCTTGACTCCATTTCTTCTTCTCAAAGCTATGAGTTTAAACATGTTTGCACTTATACATAAGTGAGGGTAGACTCTTTCATGAGGTGGGAAATATTTTGGGGGTATCCAGAAAATAATAATTTCAATAATGTAGGTATGATTAAAAAACAAACAAAAAACAAACTAGGGCTGGGTGTGGTGGTATATGCCTGTAATCCCAGCTACTCCAGAAGCAGAGATTGGCCAGGTTGTGGCTTGATACCAACTCAGACAAAATGTTAGCCAGACAACCCTCATTTCAACAAATAAACCAGTGGTGATGGCTCAACGCCACGTGGGAGACAGAGGTAAATGGATCAGTCCCCGGTAAAAACGTGAGACCCTACCGGAAAGAGAACTATGGCAAAAAAAACAAAGGTTGGGGGTGTGATTTAAACAGTAGAGTAACTGCTTAGCCAAGGGAAGACCCTGAGTTAAAATCCCAGTACTTAAGAAAAAAAAAAACAAGAGAAACTAGAGAACCCAAGAAGTCACCTGGATAGCAAGATACAAAGTGTGGAGGACCCAGTAACACTGGCTTTCTTTGGGGATGTATTTCCTGGAGCTTCTGAGATGACACCATGACACACGTTGTCCGTGGAGTTGGGTCTTCCGGGATCTAACTTCTCACTTGACTTGAGTTGTAGGAGGAGCAGACACCTCTGCACATTGCCTCCCGCCTAGGCAAGACAGAGATCGTCCAGCTGCTTCTACAGCACATGGCCCATCCAGACGCGGCGACCACAAACGGGTACACACCGCTGCACATCTCTGCCCGAGAAGGCCAGCTGGATGTGGCCTCTGTCCTCCTGGAGGCGGGAGCTGCTCACTCCCTGGCCACCAAGGTAAGGAGATGGACTTCCGGGTAGCTGTGGCTAAGAGGATGGCCCGGGACATGGGCATCTGGGAGAGTGGATCTCCAAATGGCTCACTTCCTTCTTTGGGCATTTTATATTCATGGGCTATATGATTAGGCGGGGATGTGAAACTCCACGATATATATATATATATATATATAATTTATATATGTATACATATCTATATACATAGATATGTATATAGATGTCTATATATGTGTGTATATACATACATATGTATATGTACATATAAGAATTCTGCAGCCAGGTGCTGGTGACTCATACCTGTGATCCTAGCTATTCAGGAGGCTGAGAGCTGAGGATCCAGTCAAGGCAGGAAAGTCTGTGAGACTCTTATCTCCAATAGACTACTCAGAAAAAGCTGGAAGTGGAGCTGTGGCTCAAGTAGCAGAGTGGTCACTTTGAGCACAAAAGTTCAAGGGCAGTACCGAAGCCCTAAGTTCAAGGCCCCAGGACTGTCACCAAAATAACCCCCCAAAACAAAACCCAACACCAATACCCAAACCCCTAGAGTTCTACATTTCATTCTCCCAATGCCAGTGTTATTTCCAATACTGGTTCCTAGGACTTTAAGTGGACTGTGCACTTTTTTCGTCCCTCTCCACTGTCAAATCTATGATGTAATCATAAGACAAAGAAAATAAGCTTCTTAGATTCTAAATGAGGAAAAAATATACTATGAGTCTGGCATTCCTGGTAGCTTTGTGTGCTGTGGGGCTCACTTTACTTTCTCTTGTGTTTTCCCCATCCCTAGTTACCAGCGGGCCCCCATCTAAAACCCCAGCTCCTGCTCTTCCCCCCCATCTTTTCTCTCTCAAGTATACCTGGGCCTAGGTACTGAGTGTCAAGATGCAATCGAGTTGGAGATTCATACTTGATATAGCGTTACTCACATCAAAGATCCTCCATCATCCTGGATTTTGTTTGTGTTCAGATCATTTTTCCTTCACTTTATACTTTCTCTTTGAAATTCACTATGTAGAGGTAAGCAGGATAAAATACAAATGCTCACAGCTCTTTGGAGCAATAGAAAATGAGCCAGTGCAGAAGAGTAGATAAAGGAAACAGAAATCTAGAATGATGAATTTGTCACAAGGAAAAATTATTTCCACACTACAACAGTGATTCAGATGAATGAAAAGTCCATTTCAATTTGCTGAGAGTAAGTAGGAATAAACATTGTGCCCGGGAGAAGGAGGTTTACAAGGGGAAACTTGAGACAGTGATATGCCCTCATTGCTTTTGGAGTGAGAGCTCTCTGCTCTCTACCAGTTATGTATAACTATAGTTGTGTATAACTGTATAATAATATTTTGACCAAAGCACTGGTGGTTCATGCCACCAGTAATCTGAGCTACTCAGGGGGCTGAGATCGGAGGATCACAGTTGAAAGCCAGCCTGGGCAGGAAAGTATATAAAACCATTATCTCCAATTAACCAGAAAGCCAGAAATGGAGTTGTGGTTAAAGTGATAAGAGTGAAAACATTAAGTGAAAAAACTAAGGGACAGTGCTCAGGCCCCGAGTTCAAACACACACACACACACACACACACACACACACACACACACACACGTGCGTGCACTCCCACATACATTTTGTAATAAGGAATTATGTTTATTCAAATCCTGACATCTGAAAATCTAAATGGCTTTAAAAAGTTCTTTAAAAAAGATAGTAAACAAGAAATTCAGCAGAACCATATAATACTAATAACAATCTAAGTGGGAGCTGATGATGGTCTTCACAGATGAATGTGTAAGTAGAATTAAGATATGTAAAAACAGAGCTGGGTCCTGATGGCTTATACTCATCATCCTAGTTACTCAGAGCCTGAGATCTGAGGATCGAGGTTCAAAGTCAGCTGGAGCAAGAAAGTCTGTGAAAATCTTTTTCTTTTAATTGTGAAAATACTGTACAGATTGGTTACAATTACATGGGCAAGACAAGGAGTGCATTTCTTATCAAGCATTGTAGCCTCCTCCTTTGTTAAGTCTGTGAAACTCTTATCTCCAGTTAACCACCAGAAAACCAGAGGTGGAGCTGTAGCTCAAAGTGGTATCATACTAGCCTTGAATGATATAGCTCAGGGACAGTGCCCAGGCTCTGATCTCAAGCCCGATGACCAACCCAAAAATGAAGGAAGGGAGGACAGAAGGAAGGAAGAAAAGAAAGGAAGGACAGAAGGAAGAAAAGAAAGGAAGGACAGAAGGAAGAGAAGAAAGGAAGGACAGAAAGAAGGAAGGAAGGAAGGAGGAAGAAAGGAAGGAAGAAAGGAAGGAAGGAAGGAAGGAAGGAAGGAAGGAAG